GGGCAGTATGGGAAGGCCGGATCTGACGATCCGGAAGGGAGGAGTCAGGGTCACGTGGGAGAGAGGTTATAGAGGGGAGCCCGGAAGAGATCGAGGCCAGTTGATGGAGCGAATAGGCGGGACCACGTTGGGTGGCCGCTGCGCCATCAGCCACGTGGCTGATGGGGCTTCGGCACACCGTCGGCCAGCGATGTGCGGAGCCGGAGAAGGAGTTGGAACGGAGCGAGAATAGGGGAAGCCACGCTGGGCAGTGCGGGAGGAGCGGCGCCATCTGCCAAGTGGTCGAAGACCTACGCACACCGTCGGCTAGCGGTGTGCGTGAGGTAGACGGGGCTAGCGGTGTGTGAGGGGCTAACAGAGTCTGCGGGGCACACGTGGCTAGTGAGTGACTAGCGGAGTGTGCGGGGCACACGGAGCGAGCGGTGTGGCTGGCGGCGTGTGCGGGGCACATGGAGAGAGCGGAGCGGCCACCAGCGAGTGCGGGCCACACGGAGCGTGCGCAGGGGTGCGCAGCGGAGGCGGCGCGGGTCCGGCCGAGGACCAGCGGGGTGCAATACGAAGAACCTAAATAAACGACAACAGAGACCAAGAGAGCCTGACAGAGTCGTTTATTACACATGTGTAGTGAGTGCAACTGAGTAGCAGATGTCTTAGGGAGCAACACGTTTTATTAAACTATTTGCACAACATACACCTTCTTTGTCCCCAGCAAATCGCAAACCTCACGCAGCAGTTTCGAAGAAAATTTCTTACTTTGATCGGACAAAAGATGCTCAGGGGCACCCTTATCTAGGACATAGCCATTAAGGAACGTCTCGGTCACAGCTATAGCCAATTGATTCGGTAGCGGACAGGCCATAAGCCAGCGTGAGAAATATTCAACGCCAACGAGCAAGTCACTACACATGAACTGGAGCAGTCTTGCTCAATGTTTTCTGTCTTGTATAACTCGAACAGTCGGTCCCGATGGATTCCACAATGTAGATCTTGAGTAGTCAGCCCCGATGTCGTCCACCTCCCGTCGTCGATCAGTCCCCGAGCAAGCGCCCCGAGCACGGGCCTCGCTCCCCCTATTATACTCACTAGGCCGCGCCCCTCTCTAGCCTTGTTCTCCCCACAGTTTGTAACATTGTGACAGTACCTTCCGGCCACCTGTCTTTATGCATCTCCACTCGCCCTTCCAGAGCCTTCCCTCATACAGTACCCTGCACCTGTTTTCAGCCATCTTCACTCACCCCACTCAAACCTTGCCCTGTACAGTACCCTACACATGTGTAGTGACTAACTCGGGGCTGATACGACTTGGAGGTACTTCTTTATTAACAAGCACCATCGGGGCTAACACTGTTAATAATTAGTATGTCTATTGTTGGCGATGCTACTCAGTCAGGACAGTTGGTAGGCTGCCTGAGGAGCGGCGCCCCAAGATGGTGAAGACGGAGATGATGACGTGATACTATGAAAAAAAACTGTATTGTAAATAAAACACAAAATAAAGTAACATAAATATGAAAAACTGTTTTATTTTCACTTACCTTGAGTCCTGATACCCTGAGTCGCTATAATTGCACACACAAATCAGTGGCGGCTCGTCAATAGAGGGCGCAGGGGCGCCGCCCCCATCAATATTCAAGAAATATACATATGCAAAATTTATATAAAAATACATAAATAAAATATTTTTTTCATACGATGTGCCGGCTGGTAGTAAGAAAAGCATCAGCATTTAATAAAAACTCGCTTTAATCGGTCAACTATTTTCTATGTTTTTCAATGTGTTTCATGCGGGGCGCCGGACAAATGGATGTCTATGTGAGACTTTACATTTTCGGACAGCATGTGACCTGAAGCTGGTCTCTAATTGGTTTCTTAAAGATTCTCCTCGGGGCGCAAGTCGTTGCGTCCCTGGCCAATCAGAATTGGATACATGTTATTTTATCCAATCTGATTGGTTCTCGTCACCTGTCATTCAAATTTACGCTGTAGGCCACTACTGCGAGTGCGAAGGCGACACCACTTTGACACTTGCTAGGCTGATCAAATTTTTTGTGTAAACAATGGCAGCAGTTCATCCAAATTCTGTAATTTATTTACAAAAAAACCCTTTCACAAGGCTTTCGCTGGAAGAAATAAAAAAGATAAAGGATCTCGGACCGGACCAACCCGATTTACAAATCCAGCAGCAGGCCAGTGACAGAGGACAAAGCTACACACGAAGCTTCACCCGCGCTTGTTATGAGAAACGGAGGTGGCTGGCTGGATGTGATGTTAGCAATTCTCTTTTTTGTTTTCCCTGTCTTTTATTTCAAAGTGTCGGCACTGAAGTTTTGTGGACAACGACGGGGGTAAGAGACCTCAAACATCTCTCTGACAAATGCAAACGTCATGAAAGTAGCCGCAGCCATATTGATAATAGCATGAAACTAACGTTTTTATGTTCAAGTAGGAAACATGCTTTTTGGTACTTTGGTCTGAAATGTATATAAAAGAGAAACATTTATGTTCAAGTAGGAAACATGCTTTTTGGTACTTTGGTCTGAAATGTATATAAAAGAGAAACATTTATGTTCAAGTAGGAAACATTCTTTTTGGTACTTCTTTTGGTCTGAAATGTAAATAAAGATCATCAAAATTTATATTCAAGTAGTCAAAATGGTTTTTGGTACTGCTTTATATTTATTTGCCCCCCTCAATAAAATAAAAAAAATGCGCCCCCCCAAAAATAAATATCACCAGCCGCCACTGACACAAATACAGATACACACCCCAATGACAACGATGCCCTGTACGGCCTTACCAGGCTACTGGGGCAAGTGCTGTTAGCGGGAAGCGCCAATGAAGGCCGGCATAGCACACGAGGGGGTGATTGTCCAGCACCACGCCCGGCTGCCTTTGTCTCCCCAGTGGCAATGTTTACACACCGCACCAGGTGCTCATTTGGGGCTGAGTCGACATAGGTAGTCTCAGAACCTGTTCAAATAATCTGCAGTGGTGTTTGCCATGAGCAAGAAGCAAACAAGGATCGACGCTTTTGTAGCGCAGCCTGCTAACCTCTACACTACCGCTCCCCACACACTTACTTTCACACACACGCACAATGTGCGAGTGTGCACACACACACTCCCAGCGCGAGGCTGACTCGTTACATCTTGAGGATCGCTCCACTGATCAAAATAGTTCCACAGTTCAGTTTGCAAGTGCGAGTTCTAGTTTTAAGTCAATGCTTTTCTTTATATTTTACTAGCGGTAAGTACCCGGCGTTGCCTGGGCAAAAAAGACAGACACACACATCGACCTACATACACAGCCATTGACCAACACACACAAAGACATCGACTAACACACACATATATGGACTCACACACACAGACATCGACTTTAGATACACACACATGGAGTCACACACACAAATCGATGTACACACATAAAGCGACTCACACACACACATGCGTTGAATCTCACACACACATCGATCTAAGCACACATATGGACTTACACACACATGGACCCACACACACATCAACTTACACACACACAAGACAAAGACAAAGATCCCCATATAGCCTGGAACAGACTGTTGGGGCAAGTGCTGTTAACGAGCACCTATGAAGGCCGGAACGGTACACGAGGGGGTGGGTGGCCAGCACCACGCCCGACCGCCTTTGTCTCCCAAGTGGCAATGTTTACACACCGCACCAGGTACTCATTTGAGGCTGAGTCGACCTAGGGGAGGCCCGGGACCGGTTCAGATAATCGTCACTGGTGTTGGCCGTGAGCGGGAATCGAACCTGTGTCGCCGGATTCATAGCGCAGCGCGCTAACCGCTACACTATCGCTCCCCACACACACATGGAGTCACACACATATTGGCCTACACACACATATGGACTCACACACAGACATGGACTTTAGATACACACACATGGAGTTACACACACATATCGACTCACATATACATTGACTTACACACACACATATGGACTTACAAACACACACTTACAAACACAAACTCACACATATGGACTCACACACACATACACATCCATGTACACACACACATCGACTGACACACATAGACACACACACAGTGACTTACACAGTCACATGGAGCCATGCACACACATCGACTAACACACACACATCGACGTACACGCACAGACATCTGGCATTGCCCGGGCAAAAAAGACACAGACACACATCGACTTACACACACACATGGACCTAAACGCACACACATTAGGACTCAAACACACACACACATCGACTGACACACACACATCGATTTACACAGCAATCCCTGATGATGCCACAGCTAGAGCAATGTTCTCTCATTTGCGAGCCTTAGCGAGGAGCAGTTAGAAAACACAGGTCTTCTCAGTACTGGCAGGTGCATCAAGGAAAAAAAGACTCCATTTGTAGTCTCAATGTCTTCCAAGATTTTCGTGGAGGCTTCTATTTGTGCATCCATCAGCTTTGGTTAATTTTCCTAAATACATTTTAGAAGCTGTAAAGCATAATAGCTTATTTAACGTAGGATCTCTTGAGCAAGGGCATGCAGGTTGTCCCTGTAGGGTGTTGGTCGTCCCATAGATGTGAGGTATTTTTCAGCAATGGAGTGCAGTTTGTCGTGAAGGAGGATGAGGGCCTGTTTGAAGATGACATGAGAAAAGCTGACGTCGAGGTTTGTATTTTGTCATTGAGCTCCGTGGAGGATGTCCTCACTCATGCCCTCGTTGTATTTTGCCAGTCCCATGGGGTTAGATGGCTGGTTCGTAAGTACAGGTGTTTCTTCAGTAGAGGACTGCCTGTAATATTGTTGCACCCATATATACGACTGGGTGGACACAAGGGGGGTAAACTTACCCCACTTGTTACCACTGCTCGCTAGGAGATAGAAACTAACCACGAGTTGAGAATTGCAAGTCAAGTGTGTTAACCATTACACCATATAGAAGATGACAGACACAAAGAAATGCAACACATGGTTGTACATTTATCTTTATTGTTAACATCGTATATGTGAAAAACAGGCAAATGGCTTATAATCATTGTTTACAATGTTACCAGTAATGAAAGAAAAGCGGTTTTAAAAAGTATAGTCTTATATACAGTGATAATCAGTGACAATTTAGAAAAACTGGCATTTCAAAATCATTAATTAGCATCATGCTGCAGAGATGACAACTCGTCTGGCCATTGGCCAAAGGGCCCCCCAATCTTTCAGGTATTGATAGCTAGTCACTGCTGGCTCAAAGCTGCCTGAGGAGCTGTGCAGGTAGCCAATTTGATTGCCATTAAAGCAGAACTACAATATTTAATTCATATCTAAGTCATCCATGTTCACATGATATAATGAAAATACATTTTAAGACAGTTCCAGTTTCATTTATTTTGTGTAGCCCTGTGAACAATTCGGCTCTTAAGTCGGGTGCAACCGCAACAAACTAAGTATGAACAGAGAACATCTTAAAGCGACGACGTGCAACAGAAACATCCTGGATAAACCAGCAAATCTTCCAGAAAAAAAAGTATTACAACGCTGTGTGCAAAAATCTCAGTGTGATGCAAGTCAAACAATTAGAATAATCGTCATTTCATTCATTCAAAATAAACGTTTTTGGGTTAGATGTGTCGTAACCCTCCACCACCCGACACGGCAAATCAGCAAAAAAGTGTCACGTTCACGAAAGACAAATAGTTCACTACTTTAGTCCACCGGTGTGTTGAGGAGTGAATCCACAACATTTACAGATTTTTTTAGTACGACGTTTCCCTGGTAATTACATGCAGCATCATCGGGCAATTCGCCAGAATGGTAAAGCCTTCACTTGGCCGCGAAAGCCTACGTGTTAAACTCATTTATTCAAGTTACGTATTTTTGGCGACATTTTTGCCAACTTTAAAATGTTAAAATAGCGATATCTGGTGACTTTTTGAGGTTTATCTGGCGATTCTCTACCTTTGTTATATCTGACAAAACTGGGTAAGTTTGCCCTTTTTTCAGTCAAAAAGTAAAAGAGTGTGCCTGCAATTGCTTGCTTACACCTCTACACTTGAGGGAGCTCCAGAGGGTATTTGGCCTACTCTTCCATGTGCTAAAAAAGGTGGGCCTAGTCACAGTTCACCCCACCGCGCGTTACTAGCTGATCAACTTCATTGTGGTATAACCATTAATAATGCTGAGTGGACATAGGCTGCACTACTTCCACTACTGTGCCATGATATAACATTTAACCATTGTTCTGTGGATTGCAAGTCCAGTGTGCTAATCATTACACAATGCTTGATACCTTACCCTAGGCCACCTTTGTGCCATAACGTATCCAAGGAATTACTCGAACCTGCACTGCAAGAAAAATATACGGTGGCTGCACAAGTGTGGCCTCACCTCTCAACCAGTGGTCCCCAAATTTAAACATCAAACAATATGTATTTTAATGCCACCACACTTGAACATAACAACTGTCAGCTTTGCAGGTGAGCAGTTGAATGATGACAGGATAATGGTTATGTTGTTGTTCAATTCAGAGCTCACAATAGTAAGGTTACTTTAATCAGACGGGGATTCATATTTTTTGTATTATTGTATCATTAAAAGTGTGAGTACTGTGAGGTAATGTCTATGCTGGTATATGGATATAGGGAGTGTAATGAATTTACGTAAGTATGTTGACAGAGACATTACTCCAGGAGCCGAGAGACTGGGATCAAACCTAAAATTAATATTAAAAACTACGACAGTTTAAGTATCCTTTATACTGTATAGTAGATGTATTAAAGTCTTAACATACGTATATTTATTGAAGCAAAGGATTATACTGCATATCATTAAATTTAAATTGACTGTTCCTGCAACTGGACATTACAATATTTAGCTATGGACCTTGGTCTAATGAAAATTTCCAGGATTTGCAAAAAAATACGTAAAAAGCCAAGACAAAAGGTGTTTAGTTTTACACATTAAGACGTATATAGGTCAAAGTTTTGTCTTAGCTACGGTGAGTTGCGTATGCGTAGCCCTAATTTATAGGGGTGTGGTGATAGAGTGGTACTGAATTTGGCAGCTAAAGTGGGAGGAGAGACTGGAGTTGGGCCAATAAAATTCAAAGTGCTGCAAGAGAGATGTGAAGAAGAGGAAAAGCTCCATCTTGGCTAAACTTTCCCCCAAACAGACACGGGGACCAGCAGAGAATGGCAGGAAAGCATCCGACTGGACACACTGGCCATCTTTATCAAGGAAGTGATCAGGGTTAAACTTATTTGGTGTTTTCCAGTGGATGTCATCGTGAAGAGCAGACATGAGGTTTACCATTACATGGGTTCCCTTTGGAAACAAGTAGTCGTGGAACTGCACATCTTTAGATGTAGCGTGCAAAACTCCAAGTGGAACAACGTTACCAAAGCGCTGTATCTCATGGATCACAGCATCCAAGTAGGGCAGGCTGCGTCTGTCCTTCATACATGGCGGTCGCTCGGATCCCACAACTCTGTCAATCTCCTCATGACATCGGGCTTGAATGTCGGGGTTCATCATCATGAAGAGGAGGCCCCAGCGCAGTGTGTTGGAGGTCGTATCCATGCCAGCGATGAAAAGTTCCATCAATACCTGAATGAGGTTCTGGTCAGTAAAGCTGCTGTTGGGATTATCCTTCTCCTGATCCATCTGAGCTAGATATGAGTCAATCAGGTCCCTGGGGTTGTGTTGATCTCTTGTGGCACGGTGCTCAGATACTATATCCTTGAGGAAGCATTGCAACTTTGTGCGAAAATGGAACACTTTCTGCCATGGCCCAGGCAACTTTAGCAAAAATGGGAAAACATTACACAGTATTGCCAGCGGATCTGCTTGTAACTGCACGAGATTGTCAACTATGTACGTAAGCTTTTGGAACTGCTCATCGTTATAATCATATCGGATCCCATTCAGGAGGGAGCAAATTATGTTGCCCACAGCATTGTTTAAATTCAAGTGAGGGTCAAACGCTGAGGTTTCGTGTTTGAAAGTTTCTATTAGGTACGTCGCTTCTATCATTATTTTGTCAGCTATTGTTGCCTTTCCAAAGCCGAAATTGCGCAATGTTGACAAAGCAAATCTGCGCTGCTCCTTCCATGCGTCTCCATATGGTGCTAATACGATACCAATGTTGTTAGTGAGTTTAGTATAAATAGGAGTTATTGGTCGGTCAGCAAACTCATGACCTCGATTCACCAGGACCTCTTTGACTGCCTGGTAGCCGCTCACCAACACAACAGGCGTACTCCCCAACATTATGGTACAGACTTCTCCATATTTTTTGGCCAATTCTTGCATGCTAATGTGGGGATTCTTGCAACTAAATGCAGTGATGTTCCCCAGCAACGGTAATGGTTTAGGACCAGGAGGGAAGCCCACTGGGCAGATTGTTGACCCCACTACTTGCAGGGCAGCCCGTACGGTTAGGAACACCATACAGATCACGGCCAGGCTGATCAGCACTTGACTTGTTATCAAGGATTTCCATTCTGGCGAAGTTGCGACATCATCAGCCAGCTGCCCCATCTTGTCGTTCTGTGTTGTAGGGCAGTCAGCAGAGTGAACGCACAGCTCAAGTAGTAGAGTGCACTAAAAGTTGTCTGCACACACAGACACACATGCATAGCCTATTTATGAGGACACTACACTAAGCAGAATAACCTTTATATGGCAACGGTTTACTCGCCTAATTCTACCAGCGTATTCAGACAAGTAGTAATTGGGGAAACCATTTAGATAGATATCATAACTTTAATTGAGCTGGCATTGTTAAGTAAAGTGTGGCTTGGAAGCATTATTTTTAAAAAAGCAGTTGATATATTCGATAATAAACTATACAATTTATTACAGTTAGTATTAAGCTTCAGTCAACAATGCTGTTCTGATAGTGAGTAATGCATATGAGTGAGTAATGCATATGTTAATCATTGGTCCAGATAAATTATTATAAAAATGTTAATACATTCATTTGTAATGGTTAATATGCAGGCAGACCTCACTTAGCTCCATAGGATGTTTATTCGATATCGCGCTCTGTGTCCTGGAAAAAAATATTATTTTTACAAAAAAATAAATCAGAACATAAAGTGCTTACGAGTGAGAAAATATACATTCTTCACTCGTACTCCCCCCGCCCCCACAACAAATCAAACTATTTGTGGTCACGATTATATATGTTAAAAATCTATTTTTTTCCCCAACGTTATTACAGTTTATTTAGCCAGATGAGAACTAACGAGACCAGGATAGAGTCTCAGACTCCACCTAAAAGAATCCTCACCACAGAAATTTAACTGAGGGCATCACTAAGACCCTAATTGGAAGTGGAGCAGCTCCAACCTCGTCTTAGCATTATTATTATTATTAGCGCTATTACCAATACCCCAATGAAGCCCTCATATTGCTTATATTAATGAAATAAAAAGTCGGGAACGCATCTCCATATACACAATAGTAGAATTAACCCTTTTAGCGTGTCAGGAATGCCTCTTGAGTGTTAAACGAGGTCTGCTTATATTAAAAAAAAATCTCATTGGGTGTTCCTATGAGGTCATGACACTGATTTAAAGTAACTCAGAGATTCAGACATCTTAGATTATTAGTCAGAATTTCTAGAGATCTTGTACTGATGTTTGACGTAGTTTCAAATTCAATATTGTACCTGGTAAATATGGTTCGATGGCTCTTCAGCCTACCAGTGGACTAAAGCAACAATATTTGGTGCATTAAATGTTTATCCATGTAGCCGGCCTCTCCTGTCTACTGCCATGACAATATTAAAGAAATAACACTGTCGGGAACGAATCTCCATATATATAATAGTATAATGTATAATGAATATACAATTGTATAATCAACCTACACCGTCGGCAATGTGGTGTGTCGAGCGGGTTGCAGGGATTTTTGCTGCTGCATTAGCATCATTGCTGCATTGGCACTTGTGGACCGCCCATGCTCCTGGTTCTGTTGATAGCTGCATTGGCATTGTTGCTGCGCATTAGTGCACCGCCCATATTTCCGGTCCTATTGATGCACTTGGGCTATGCCCATCCCCAAACTCTTATAAACAGCTTGCCTTTAGAGGCTGACTCCTTTGCCTATGACGGCCGCTTGTGTTGCCATCGAACCGTCGTGATGTGTTTATTCACTTTATTTTTTAATTTATTGTTATTTTTTCTGTCTACGTGACTTTACCGAAAGAACCATATAACATAGAATATAATGAACCCTAGTTCAATTAGCTCTTACGGTCAGTATTATAAAATGTGCTACGGCTCAACAAAAAATGTAAGCATTGTTAAACTCATAAACAAAAATAAATATTTATATTTGCATGTAATACTGTATATAGTGTATAGTACATAAAACGTGAAATAACATGAAAAGAAAAAAAACACTTACCTTGAGTCCCGATCCTGGCTTGCTTGTCAGAAGAGGCTTAATAAGTCACTACTTGCACACACACACGGAGGCACGCGCACACACAACAACGACAACGACCACCCGTATAACCTTAACAGACTGTGGTGCAAGTGCTGTTAGCCAGTACCTATGAAGGCCGACACGACACATGAGGGGGTGGATGGCCAACACCGCACCCTGCTGCCTTTGTCTCCCTAGTGGCGTTGTTTACACATTGCACCAGGTACTATTTAAGGCTGACTCGACCTCAGGGAGGCCCAGGACCAGTTCAGATAATCCTCTGAACTCAGGTCGCTGGGTTCGCGCGCTAACCATTGCACTTCGATGATATTTTCTTTTTTAAACATATCTAATGAAAACCTGTTCGTAAGTGCGGATGTTCGTAAGTGGGGCATTCGTAAGTCAATTACTACTTGTATATGCACTAATTAACCTCAAATTTACCAAAACAAAGCGATTAACTTTCATACATATCATTACATTAACGTGACTAAATAGATCTCCACCAAAAATGGCAAATTACATAATAGATGCTTAAAAGCACACCCTGTATCTAGATCGACCAGCCCACATGCCACACAACACCGCTCAATCCCCGAGTAGATGGAGTTGATCAAAAATGTGAAATTCGAAATTCGTGATATTCAAAATGATAACAATCAAAAAACGTTAATTTTTTGTCAACATCAGAAATGGTAAAAATAAATGTTTAACTCATCTCGAAAATGTATCACATGTACACAAAAACCCTTGTAGCATCAGTGAGCTTGTGTACCGCTGTTCGCATTTAACCTCGATGATAATAAGTGGCCAGTTCACTGTTGTGCGCCTCACTAACGTGACTTGACTCTACAATATCACCACAACGAGTTGACCAGCCACTGCGCAGCTGCATTACATTTGACTGAATTTTCATTCCCGATTGGGAAAACTGTTTTTGGGTAACTTCTGGCCTGCAAGAGGTCGACAAAAGGTTCTGAGAAAGTAATTTATTTTCCATATAAATCACTTTGAACATAGCTTCAATCATACATTTTCTTAAACATACACACAAATGTTTCCTTTTAGAATTACATGTAACTTGGATAGTTCTTACGTTTGAACATGGGCGATGCACGAGCATGACGAGGGGTAGAGTGATATTGACCAGTAGCTGCATGCGATCATTAGAAAATGTTTTACTAATTTCGCCACAATGTGTGAGAATTGGTACTACCGCTTTGAAAGACATGCCGAATGCGTCTGGAGAGGTCCGTAAAAATGTCATTGTGTTATACATGTTTGTGTGGTGTGACCATCGTACAGTACATTCGTTCCACTTGTTTTAACATAGCACCATTTCCACCACAAGTGTGTTAGGTTGAGTCGACATGGAGGCTGTCTGGCAAAATTTATTGATAGGAGGTAAGTTGCACGTGGAAAAATGCATGGGTGCTACAATTGTGACGCAATACAATAACAGCCAATCTACAAGCATATTGCAAATATGCGGAACATAAACACATGAACTGATCATTGCGTACTAACATTCATCAGGATCTGTTCACAAAGTCACAATCTGCATGCATATTCCTGCGTCAATACCTCATCACTGCTCATGCATCTGATGTCTCCAGCTCCTCGCCAACGCCTCTCACATCTGCCAGATCCAGCAACTTCTGCGCACCACAGTCCCAATAATTTGAAGGCACGCCCTCAAACTGTGAACATGGAGTAACAGACCACCCATTTTTATCTCCAGCAGCAGTACTCATGGTACAGTCAAATATTGACATTACTCACATTCAGAGTGTGTGTCTGCTACCAGTGATGCGGCTGACTGGTATGTGTATGTTATTAGCATTCTGGTGAGTGGTGGTACAGTGGAAAGTGCATTTCACCATGAACTTGGCAAACAGACTTTGATTCCCAGGCACGTCTAAAATCAGCAGCAGATAATATCAGAACTCGGATTGGGTCTCTTCAGCCTCAAATGAACACACTGTAAAATGTGCAATCATCAGCACTCTAGAGACAAAGGCGGCCGAACATGTTGCTGGCAACATCACCTCCTCGTGAGCCATGCTGGCCTTAATAGTAACTTGCTAATAGCGATTATTCATACGCCTATTTAGAAACTAGCCCTCAGAAACACGTGTTTCATTAAAATTTCATCAGGCTCCATAGTCTTCAATGCAGTCTCTAACCTTTATTAATTATATCTCTCCTGGCCTATATGTTTTTTTACAGCAGTGTTATTGACGAGTGTGTTGGACATATTTCTATAGGTAATGATTGAGCATTCACATCAGCAGATATCCCAGGTATGTACATACAGTTATCCGATTTTGGGTAACGTGCAAACTCAACCAAAACTACTTTTAGGATTAAATAAATTATGATTTAAATGGGAGGGAGGTGTATGTATGGAAGGGGATGGACGGCCACGTCCGAAGGGCTTGCGTTCTGCTTGCTATATTTGTAGTGCTGAACTTTATGCGGACAACTTCTTCCTTTTCTGTCGTCACTTTAATTTTTTATCAAACTCAGCACATTTCACCACCATTCTCCAGCGCGTTCTCCGCTCGCTTGCCGCGCTCCGCCGGCCTCGCTCGCTCCGTTCCTCCCTCTCTCTCTCCGTCTCTCCCGACTCTTCTTCCCCTGCTCCACCGCTATCCTATTCTACCTCTCATATCTTCCTCGTCTCCGTCTCTACTGCTACCCTATACTTCTTCTTCTACTCCGCTGCTACCCTATACTTCTTCTTCTACTCCACTGCTACTCTATACTTCTTCTCGTATCTTCTTCTTCTGCTCCGACCGTCTCCGTCCAGCTCCCAGCACAACTCCCCGTCTCACTCGAACGCTCCCGTATTTATCCCCGTCCCTATTAATTTCCAATTAATTAACTGGCGTCCCTCCAACGCCCCGCGCCCCCTGCCGCCACCTGTCCCCATTCCCAGACTTAAAGGCGCCACTTTGTCCTTGACAACAACTGGCCAATCACTGCCCTGCATCCATAATTGCCTAACGGGCCGTTTCCGTCTCACCCGTTGTCCCCCAGCAACACCAGCATGTCCCGATACGACCCCACTGTTCCCAACCCGCATGTGTTTACAATTACCCCCCTTGGCGCATGTTAAACCACTCCATATTTATAAAAGTTTGTGTTGTTAAGCTTTGTTTGTAACCTTTTTATCACTGGCCCTTCCCTATTCACGACCACATTAATTCAAATTTGTTTTTACTGATAAATATACTCTGCTAAAAAAAATTGTCATAGAACAATAAAAATGTGGCTTGTAAACCAAACGTTACATATTTATTAAATGTCAATACTGTTGTAATAAACGACTTCCACGACGACTCTGGACTGGTGTCTTTTATTTAATAGAATGTCTGCACAGTTACGCGCTCTCTCTCTCTGGGTAGTTCTCTCACTCCCTCGTCCGCTGCTGCGGTACGTCTCCCTCTCTCCGTCCACGACGCTGGCTGGCGGCGTGCCTGGAGGAGAGACGGCTTCGCTGGAGGTTCGCCACGTGGTCGTTGTCGAGGAGAGGTAGAGTGGCGATGGAGTCCGGACCCGAGGCTTCCCACACCGACCACGAGTCCTCTCCTGCTTCCGTTTATGTCCCCTGGCGCTCTCTCATTAAATCTCCCCCCCCCCCCCCCCCCCGTGATGAATAAACCTAGCCGTCCCAGCTAAGAATGAATTTGGACAGACGAGTAATAGAGAGACGCAATAAAAGACCCCGCGGCAACGACAAGGATGTGTAAAAATACAAAGCAACATGAACTGTACGAGCCGGCATTAAAAGGCAAATAACAAAGCGAAGACAAATGGGAACATCAGCAAAATCGAGGCGTTTTAGAACGGGTCCGCGACGCCAGACCCTCCGCGGTAGCCGTATCCCGCTTCGCGTCAATTAGCGCAGCTCACTTCAATCGGGATAATATATTATTTGATTATTTGCTTCCACACAGCACTAAGATGGTAGCTATCTGAACGGTTAAAGTTATTTTGATTTCTTTCAATTTCGATAGATTCTCTCATTCGTCTTGGCCAGTAGTAGCTAGTTTAGCACAAAACTTCAACATTATCGAAATCAATTGAGTGTCCTTGTTGGCACGCGTGTTCTGCTACTGCTGACAGTTGAATTTGGGAGAATGTAACATTTATCTGATGTTCTTTTAGTCTCATGCTGATCATTCGCCCTGTTTTCCCAACATAACATTCACCACACGTGCAGTTAATCCTGTACACACCTTCTGTTGATAGCTTCGGTAATACATCTTTTGTAGCAGATATTAGGCTCAAAAGAAAGCTGTCTCTGGTGTGGACCAATCAGTTTCAAAAACAATGCATATGATCAGAGTATGTTTTTTGTTTGCATTCTGACCACAAGTATTATGTTTAATACAAACATGATTCCTTGTATAATGGTTCGACAGAGGCGCACACACTCGTGTGGAGGCAACACTTATTTATTAAACACAACTCCAACACAACTGCAACACACCCAACACATAAGGTGGTGACCACCGTCCTAATCTCGCTAACACTCGGGTACTACTTGGCGTGGCCAAGCTAGGAAGGCTTCTGCTTGGCCACGATGACTGGAGACTTCTTTCTTCAGATTCTTCATGAGGCGTCTTCATCCCAGGCACGAACAGCCGAGCTCTCTGTGCTGAGCCGGCTTATAAGCCCCTCGGCGTGGCCGGCCACACCCTGGCCACGCTCCCCTTCTTGGACCCTCGAGAAGGCTCCACTCCCCGACCACGTAACCCCCAAGGTCCCCCAGGGCCCCTGGCCCCCACCTGGATCCGGTCACGTGTCCAGCCAGGGTCACTCAGAGTGCCACGGCCTGACACGACCCCCGTGGCACTCGTCAACAGCCTCCATACCGACCCGGCAGTGACGTCACGCGTACAGACCCAACATAGCAGTGATGTCATGTGTGTACAGACCCAACATAGCAGTCACGTCATGTGTGTGCTGACCCGACACGGTAGTGACGTCATATGTCACTCCACTTGTAAAAGGTTTCAGTTTGGTGTTTTAACATCTTTACACCTGTTTTGTTGCCATAAAAAAGGGGAATACTTATTCACATATTTTGGTACTTGCAAAGGAGGTCCCATAATGTACGGTATTTTGATCGTTTTAATTACTTGGGCAGTTCCAATGCTCTTGTTATTTGATTTGATTTTGGTATTCAATGCCCTGTTGATTTGTGCATCATTGTAACCGTTCATTTGCAGCGCTTCTTTAACATGTTGAATTTCACTTCTCAGACTGTCACCATCTGACACTTTCTTAGCTCGATGAATGAGCGTCTTGATAAGAGCAGATTTCTTTGCGGGGTAATGGTGTGACTGCATTCAGATAGGCGTCAGTATGCGTTTTTTTTCAGTTAACACTGTGTGTTATTTTTCCATTTCGACCCTGTCCGAGCAGAATATCCAGAAATGGTAGAGTTTTATGAGCTTCCACTTCCATGGTGAACTGGATGGATGGGTTTGCGAGTTGAGATGATTTAGACATGCGTTCAGTGTATCTTTGTTGTGTAGCCAGACCACCAATGTGTCATCCACATATCTAAACCAAGCAGATGGTTTTAGTGGGCTTGAAGCAATTGCTTTTGTTTCAAAACCTTCTATGTACAAATTCGCTGTCACAGGATACAAAGGAGAGCCCATTGCTGCTCCTTTTGTTTATAGAAGTCACCTTTCCCCAAGAAGTAGGTGTTCTTTAGACAATGTTCAGCTCGTCTTGGGATATATTTGGCTAAACCGTTGTTCGTTACCAGTGTCGAGTAATTTAATTGACTCGTTGGCCGGAACCCTCGTGAACAGAGAGGTCACATCAAAACTTACGAGAATATCATTTGGATTAAGCTTAATATCTTTAATCATATTTACGAGATGTTCAGAGTTTTGATGAACGAAGAGGTCCTACCGATGTAGGGCTGTATTTGTTTTGTTATGTATTGTGCTAATTTGTTCGTGGCAGAGCCTATTGTACTAACTTATGGGTCTTGATGGGACATCAGGTTTGTGAATTTTTTGGTAGCCCATAAAGCCTTGGTGGTTTTGATGCCCTTGGTTTGATCAGGTATTGCTCTTCTTTGCGAATTGATGACTTGACAATGATTGCCGTTGTTTTACGTTCCAAGGTGCTGGTTGGGTCTCGTTTAATTATAAGGTAGGTACCTTCATCGAGTAAATCTTTGATTTTATTATCATAGTCCTCATGGGGCATCACACCAGTTGATCGGCCCTTATCAGCAGCAAGAATTTGTATATCTTTTATTGCTCTCAATTCTCTTAAGGCTTTTGCTTCACTGAAGTGAATATTTGTTTTTGGCTCTTTGCTGTTCTCAATAATTTTGGCAACCTCGTGCCTAGTCACCTCAGCTTGATTATGAGAGAGATGTCTAACTGTTGATTCCACTTCAGCAATGATCTCATCGACAGGGATTGTACATTATTATTTACATATTCTTTGGTTCTTTCTATCGACGTGACTTTACCGAAAGAACCAAAGAATATGAATTCCTACAGTCACGAAAGTTTTATGACGTAATTATTATTAACTTTACATACATTTAAATGTAACAATGATGATGACGATGACAATACGATGATGGGGGAAGGGGTGGTTAGAAGGAGGAGGGGCTCAGCCCACCCTCCCCCTCTTCCTCCGGGTCATCAATGACAGATCAGTGGGCAGGAGTACGCGTACGTTATCGGAACAGAATCGGAAGAAAAAATTAAAT